CTCCCCCTTTCCCACCCCCCCTACAGACCCTGTGGTCTAGCTTCCCCGCTGAATCCTATTCCTATCACACAAAGGGAAACATTACCATTTGGAAATTCAAACCCGAAGGAAACGGAATAGAATTTATTCCCCCCCCATATATCCCCATTTCATTTTACAGATTTTAAATTATAGTTTTAAATAGAAGCTGAGAATGCGCCATAAAAATGAGCATTAAATCCATCGTAGCGATGGTGCCTGCTTTATACATGATGGGTGTACACCATCGTTTATTTCATTTACATTTCAATCGAACAATAGATTTGCAAAGAAAATGTCTAATACAGACGTAAAAATATTCACACTAGAGCTTCACAATCGGTTGTACAATTGACAAACAGGCCTCTTTTCCCAAACTTTCCAGCTAAGCAAATTTATAAAATGTAATCAATGCAACAAGAAAAAAAATAACATTTTTCTTTAACTTCCAGGGAAAAGAATATGCAGTAAACAGTATAAATGCAGACAGCAGATGCTGCAAGCTAACCACAATACTTCTGAGTGGCTGTACAGTGGGTATGTGCAGTACAAATAAAAGCCACATGTGTTGTATCACAACTACAGTATAATGTACTTGTTTGCCCAGCTAAGAAAATGCATGCATTTTCATGCCTCGGATTAACTGAGACCTACTCTGGATAAATTGATGGGATATGTGCAAATGACCTTGGCTTTTGGCAGTAATAAATGCAGCCAGGCTCTGTATAATTTCAAACTCTGTTAAACATGAACTGCTGATGAAGAGCTTCAGGGATAATCTTCCTTGAATAAAAAGTTGTCGCTCAAGTATTGGGAATTTTGATCATTTTTGCTTTATTTAGTTTTGTCATTGACACCTGGGGGTCACAAGTTCTCAGTGCATTCCCTTGCCAGCAAAAAGATGCACAGTGACCACTAGTGTCAAAGAGACAGCTGTCCATTTATACTGGAAAAAAGTGGGTCCTTTCAAGAGCACATTGACTGTGCTCTGCTCGCAGAAGAGGTCCCTACATTAGAGGGATTTCCTAACAAAAAGATTCAAACTAAACTATCAGTAATGGACTTTATGTACTGTATATCAATTTCTCATTTGGTTATGCTGTCAAATAGACTGTTTTATTTATTTTGTAACAGATTTGTAATGATGAAAAATATCTGTTCACAAACATGATCAAGATGCTGCTGTGTTTAAGGTTTATTTACAGCAGTGGTTAGAATTTGACAATTTGTACTTTAAAAAGAAAAACAGGCGCTACTGGACTGTTCTGGGTTTTGATAAAGGATTTTTAAACATTCCTTCCCCAGCTTTTTCTGACCATTGTGTGTTATTTATTTTGTACCTCACTAAGCCCAGTGCACTAACACACAAGAACAGCATTCAGCTCTTGAGCATAAGATTAAATTAAAACTTCAAGTCTGTTAACAAAGCACTAAATTTTTGGAATTAGATTTGTATAAAGAGCAACTGAGAGCTTATTTAACACAATCAGCTGTGTACAACTGCTTTCCTTATCCTGTGTCATACTTTAGTGCCACTATATATAACCTATCAAGAACCAATGCCAGTTTGCTTTGCAAAGAGTCTAACCTTTCCTTTGAAGGGTCTAGTATACATTCTAAAATGCAAAATCTGCATGAACACTAAGATTAAATTCCTTGTTACCCGATTACAGGAACAAAATTTCAGCAGCAGAGCAATCAGTCTGCTATAATCTATTTTCTTAAGAATGTACAGATTATTACTTTCTCACACAAGCATGACATATTGACACTATCATTAATCTTTAATTTAAGCCCCATGTGGAAAATTAGGCAAAACAAGGAATGAATCCAGGTTGTGAGGCAACACAATTGAACTTAGATATCGATACAATTTCTGTATCCCTGGCATGTGATATCCCTGCTGTACCTCTACAGGAAAAAAAGATGCTTGTCTGAGCAATGCAAAAAAGCCACTCTCTTCTCCCCAGTCTTCTATGGGCCTTTTTCTGACAGCATAATAAATTAGGCCAAAAAAATAAATGGGAGATACTATGGCCACACATGAAGATTAGTCACTATTTTCATGTCAGAAAATTAGCCCTTCCATTGCCCAAAGGCACCTGATTTGCAACAATACGTACAAACACATACTAGTTTGTGTGGGGTCAAGGGATGAAACTTTACCAAAAACGGAAAGCCAAAACTAGATTCCCAACCGTAGCTTCTTTGGGTCACGGCACTGGAAGGCAGTTTCATGGCAAGGTCACATAAGCAGTGTTAAAATTGTATGACAATGTTGGCACGCTATTAAAAACCCCACACAATTCTGTCTGCCATTCCAGATATCAAAGATTCAACACAAACTAGCCTCAGCCCAGAACTGACTTCTTTTCATATGAAGTATGTGGTCTTTCTAGAAAGCTACTGTATCATGGGACCTCCTGCTGCAGACAAGCCTATATAAATATGGTTGCTCTTAAGACATGCCAATAAGGTTGGCAAGAATATGTTAGACTGATGTAATTTTACTGGACAAACAGACAAATGTGTGTAAGCAGCTTATCCCAATCCCCCTCCAGCAGAGCACAACCAAGTTTTAAAAGTTGCAATTTTAAAATTAAAAAGTTAAGGTAAATACACAAGATCAATTTATGTAGTATATATTCACCCTCAGATCATGCTGAAGATGTTCTGTGGAGTTCTGGTGCACAGAGGGCTCTTTCCCTGAGGGCGAATAAGGACTTCTCAAACCTTTATAGTTTCTCTATTTTTGTAACAAAATAGCAATTTAAAATTTAAAAATCTTTTTAAAAAAATTACATCACCTTCAACATGGAAGATCTCACTGTTTAAATATCCATGAAATAGACATACTGGTTTGCATATCTTTTTTCTTTTTTTTGGAATTACATACAGCAAATAAAAGTATTTTGGAAGCGTTTAAAAAGTAATATAAATTCATATTTACAGAATGGTTTTGATAGAAAATATACAACAATCATATTCATGTCTAACATTCTATGTTAATTTGCAACATCAACAGGAAATAAGTTAAGGTGACAAAGATGGTCTTATTCTCATGCCTAATCATCTCAAGTTGCAAAGTGAAACAAAGTATCAGTCTCAGTAGAGCTGAGGTGGCACTGGCTATGGGGAAGATACAATAATAGCCTAAGGAAATTAAGAAAAGGCTACTTCACCATTATTTCTACAAACATCTCTTTACATTTAGTATTAAATAAATGTGTAAGATCTTCCATACTGATACCAGAATATCAAAACTAACCCTTGGGTTTTCAGGTATATTTACAACATAATTATTTCATGGACATGTTCATTAAGAGAGATATCTAACACCAATATTTACGTAGTCTAATCAACATCCCTCAGGGAAATGCTAACCCCCACCCCCCAGAAACGTGCACAAAACAGTTATCAAAATGTTATCTGACACATATCTGTGATTTTTGTAAAATAACAACTCAGACGACCAGTAACATGATCCTCTTTAAGCATTTTGCTAGCAGGAAAAGCCCTTACGTACAGTACACCTGGTGAAAAGTCAGCTTGGCTTAAAATATTCCAGTACAATTTTCAGAGTAAACAACTTCACAGAAGTTAATAAAAAACATAAAAAATGTAAAACTTGTCAGAAAGAAATAGAAGAGTACAAACAATAGGATATTAATCACCAGGAGAGAGGGTCTTGCTTTCATTTCTAAAAGGGTGACTGAATTTTTAAATGTCAGAGAAGAAATTATGCCCAGAGCTCTAGGTTGTCTGTGTTTATGAATATCTATATTAGTTGACATAATAGGATTTTCAGTCACAGCAGGGCACAAATTCATGTATTTTTCAGTATTTCTGAAGGTCAGATAATGCTATACTATTTTATTTTCAAGGCCTTTTGAAAATAAATGGATAATGAACAAGCAAAACTAAACCTGAATAAAAAGTTATGATTAACAGTATTTAAAAAGACAATGTAATGAGTGTCTAAAACCTCACTATTTAGTTTAAATAAAAAAAAAATAGCAATACCATCTTGTTAGTCAGTGCA